TTTACCTTCATCGATCAATTCAAATCAATAAACTTACACACTCCTTCAAAATCTTTTTAAAAATTGATATAATATGAAAAATATACTTTTTTCAGTTATTGTTAAGTTATTATTGATTAGACTGTATTTTTTAAAATACAAAAGAGTTAATATATAATTTTGACCCTATAGGTCAGAGATGATTTAAATTTTAAACTTTTAAAAAGGTACATTTTGAACCCTAAACAATTAAAGTTGAGGCAATTTAATCGCCATTGTTAACTTTTAACAAACTTTTATCAAGTTGGGGCTTAAAGTAAATTTTTCCCAAATAAATTTGATGCACGTTTGTTGAGAGTTAACGGTAGAGATCAAATTGCTTCAACTTTAATTATTTAGGGTTCATGATACACTTTTTTAAAGTCTATGGTTCAAATTGCATCTAGACTTGTGGTTCAAAGTTCAAATTGATATTTATCCCTTTTATTTTTGTGCTTTGAATCTCAATTTGTTTTTCTTTTATCTTTAATTTTTTTTACATTATACAAACAAGGAATTATAAATAGGGTATATCGATTTTTAACATGAGGTTTTAAATTTAAGATTTTAAATTTAAATCCATTAATATTTTTTTTTTCTCTAGTGACATGCCTGAAGAACCACTTAGTCTATGAGCGTGTCTTCACAAGGCATGGAAACGCACAAGCATTGATTTGGGTTCTAAACGGCCCTCCAAACACGTAACTCTTAGTGGAATGAAGTGATGGATTTATGTGGGTTTCCTTGTATTGACAAAGATTGAAGCACATTGCATAATAAAATCTCTCTGTTTTGTTTTTGCCCTGAAGCACTTGGTATTATCATTCCTATCCATTTTGAGTTGTTGCATGATTTTCAGTTTTCATAGATAAATTTGAAGGATTAAAATTTTTATCATCCCTATCTATTTTGAGTTGTTGCATGATTTTCAATTTTCATAGATTTATACTATAATTGGAAAAAAAAAATTGGAACATGTCAAACTCATGTTTGGCAAATGCCATTACTTTATCAACGTTGCACTGCATCATCTCGCAAAACCGGGAGGAGCCATTGGTGTGAATAATTGAAAGTTAAATAAAAAAATAATTTTCTCGTTTAAAAATAAAAAAGAAAAAATAAAATTTTTGGCCCCTGTACTTTACTCACTTTTTATTATTGGTTCCTGTATTTTTTTTTAATATTTTAGGTTCTTCCATTTTTATTTTAAATTGTTTTAGGTCCCCTTCATGAATAAAGTATAAGGATTTTGGAGGAACATAAAATAATGAGAACAAAAGTGTAGAGATCTAAAATATCGAAAAATGTAAGGACTAAAAAAAAATATGAGCAAAGTATAGAGACCTAAAACTATATTTTTTGATAAAAAATAATTGACAATTTACACATTCTAATGTTTGTACCTTTTAATTGTCACTCGTAGCCGTTGTAAGTCTTTTTTTAATCATTGTAGACTCTCCAACCATAATTTCTTAGTTATTTTATTAACAAAAAGTATAATATTATATTAATAAAAAAACATATAACAGCTTTTATGGCATCTTGTGTATGATAATAACAACTTAAAAAAAAATTAACCATATTTTTTTCTGTTATTAGTGGTGCATATTTGTTCTGTTTTAAATGATAAATTTTTATTGATATGATTCTTTCTCAAGTTGTGTTGAAAACAATTAAAATATTTTTCATGTTATTAGGTGCCATATGTATGTAATTAATTTGATATGACAAACTTTGTTAATAAGATAAAGAGCAAAACTTTATTATTCCATATGTATAATTTAATGAAACTTTGTTTATTTTTACATATGTATCTCTGATCTCTCTTTTATTTTTTAACTTGTAGGGGTTAAAAAAATTTAATTGATCAAACTATAAGAACTTAATTAAAAGAAAATAAATTACAAGAACTTAATTCAAAATAGAAGGAAATTATAAGAACTTGTATATATTTTTTTTATTATTTTAATGAAATAAACATACTGACAATAGAGAGAATAATTTCAATTATTTATTCACAAATAGTTTCAATTTTTCTTTAATTTTTATTTCAATATACAAATTTTTATCTCGGTTTTTCTTCCTCAATGAGAAATTTAGTAAAGACCCTGACCCCTTGATTATTTATGGTTTATCAAATATTTTAAATTTTGGTTAAAATTAAAAATGACTATCAAACAGTATTTTAATTTTCACTTCAATATTGCTTATACTTTCATATTTATATCATATGGGATTCTAATTATTTCTAATTTAAGTTAACGATTATCCAATTAATGGTTGCAAAATATATACTTTGGCAAAATGGATATATTTTTAAGGCAAGAAGAAAAATATTTATTTATTAGTTCAATTTTTTTATAAGACCACCAATGAATCCTGTATGAAGTGCATAAAGCAAGGGGAATAAGATACAGAATACAGATAGAATGAGGGGGTTGAAGATTTGGTATCAATATGCACCCTTATTAGAGATGATGTTATTTATCATAACCCTTTTGCTTTTAAGTTTCAAGTTTCTCATGAAGGACCAGAATTTATTTTTAATTTTAATAACTTTTTATTGTTTTTTTTTTTTTGTTGCTCAACATGAATTCTTCATCTTATCCCCAAAAAACCAGCTTCCATTCACCCGAGGACAAATATTGATTAGACGTTTGGTAATGGCAACTAAAAGAAATCAAAATTAAATATCATTAATAAGTTATACACAATTTTTTGAAGGGTTAAGAATCATTTTTATCTTTAAACTATATACAAAATATCATAAATGCTCCTAAACTTAACTATGGATCAATTTTAGCTTTCAACTTTAAATATTTTCTCTATCATCACCTTACTGTTTTCTCATTATTAATTGACCATTAGTGGACCTATATTATAGTTTTATTATAAAATTTTTTGAGTTGAGAGGCAAAAATAACTCTTTGAATAAAAGTTGGAGGCAAAAATGATCCTTAACCTAATAAAAAATGTTAAAAAAATAACAATATTTACTGATAACTAACTAGCGTTGAATATTTATGTCAGGGTGATAATGGAGGAAATATTTAAAGTTAAAAGATAAAATTGACTCAGTTGATTTTATGGATATTTGTGACCTTTCATGTATAATTCATGGACAAAAATGACCCTTAACTCTATTTTGAATTTTATTAAAATTATGTAGATGAACTTTTCTTAAAACAAAATCCATTTGTTGATGGTTTTTCCCTGCAGTACATCGGTTCAAATTTTAACAATGTCACAATTTTTCTTTTTATACTCACTTTCATACATTTGAGGCTAAATATTGACCATTTTTAACCACTGGGAGACAAATCTGTCGTTATCAAGAATCAAAATAAAACTAATTCAATCAAGAATTTGTTGATACCTTGATTTCTTAAGGTGGAAAGAGGATAGAAACAGCAACATAACTCAGGAGGATACAGTTAACAACTACTCAACAAGTAAATGACAACATAAACGAGGTCAAAATATCACTATATTAGTCATATTTTCGCTGTAATTAACAAATTACTTTTTTATTCGTTGACATTACATCGTAAATGAGGTATGGATATCATCTATATATTAGTCATGTACATCACGCATTTAATTTGTCTCAAAGGTTAATCAGGAGAAGCAAAAACCATAACTCAATGGCACAATTGATCCGAAACCCATGCTTCATCATTGAAGTAAGTAATCCTAATGATATATGGAAAGTTGATCATGACATCCTCAACAAACACGCCCCTCTTTTGGCTATCCAAATCGCCATATGCATTATCATTACCAACCTTTTCTACATCATCCTTAGGCCCCTTCAACAGCCTCGTATCGTTGCTCAAATTCTTGTAAGTGCATGTATTAATTTTAGGGTTAAAGATTATTTTTTCCCTAAACTTTTCTCTTAGGAGTGTGAGCACCCTAAACTGAAAGGTAAACAATATTCTTCCTAAACAATTTTTTTTATAAATAAAATCACCATTCCATTAAAGATCCATCATCTTTTTCATTATCTGTTGATGAAGAATAGTTGTGGGGCCCGCACATGGTGACAACAAGGCATTCTAACCCATTTTGCCGTTATTTTGTTCCAAAAATTAAGTTTGGTTCTTTTTATTGTCATGGTATTTCCAGCCCCTTTGGCCCATGTTCAATGGTCAAAATGGGTTAGAATGCATGCCTTGTTGTTATTGTGTGTTGACCCTACAACTATTCTATTTAATAGATAATTGAGAAGATGACGGGTCTCTAATGGAAAGGTAATTTTTCTCTTGAAAAAAATTGTTCGGGGGAACATTACATCACTCTTTAATACATGATACCCAACACTCTTTTGAAAAAAGTTTGGGGAATAAACAATCTTTAACCCCTCTATATATGAACAAAGAGCCAGTTTGTACAATAACATACCAGTATATTTCCCTTTGTCAATGTTGTTGGTGAAGCTGATGCATAAAAATTTATGGGCATGCAGGCTGGGTTTACTCTAAGCCTTGTTATTGCGGTAGATGACAATTTAGTGGACGTATTTTTGCCTACTAGAGGAATTCTAATCTTGAAACCTACACAAATTTAGGCATCATGAGCTACATCTTCCTTAGTGGATTGGAAATGAATTTGGATACCATCTTACAAGTTGGAAAGAATGACGCAGGTATCGCGCTTCTTGGCATGATCGTTCCGACTGCAATGGGAATAGGCTTCTTTGCTTTGATCCAAGAAGTTTACGAAATGCCTCCAAACTCGAATTTTCAAGATGACATGTCTATGAGAAAAGCTTATTTGTTCTGGTGTTTAACTCTGCCTATCTCGAGTTTTCCGTTGCTTGCTCAAATCCTCACTGATCTCAAGCTTCTTTATACCAGGCTGGGCAAAGCTACCCTAAGAGCAGCCTTGTTTAGTGATACTTATGCTTGGGTTCTTTTATAGCATTAATCCCATTTTCTAGAGACAATGCAACGGAAGCAATCTTGTCATTGTTGAGTACGATGATGTTCATCCTCTTCTGCATCTTCATGCTACGTCCTCTCATAACAAAATACATTGATCAAAACATGCAGCAGGATAAGAAGAACAATTCTGATTGGGCTTTTCTGGTGATGGGTGCTTTTGTTTGTTCATATATTACAGATTTCCTCGGCACACACCCTGCTGTAGGGTGTTTTATGTATGGACTAATCTTACCCCATGGGAGATTTACTGACTTGGTGATGGAAACGCTAGACAATTTTGTTTCTGGAGCTATATCACCTCTTTTTTTCTTTCGTGTTGGCTTGACTATGAACTTGATAGCACTTGCAAATCAAAACTGTTGGCCCTTGATGGTCTTAGTTATCCTATTATTATCCACTCCAACAGTTTTAGGCACTCTAATTGCCACCTTTTTCTTTGAATTACCCACCCGAGATAGCATTGGCATGGGATTGCTTCTCAACTCAAAAGGGGCCTTGGCATTAATAATACTAAACCTAGCTTTGGACAGAAAGGTATGCGCGATATAATTTGTTAATCCTTTAATTAATATTCACATTAACTATATCATTTTATATACTCCCTCTATTTTTATATTATAAGATAAACTGTCATATGCCTCATTATTTTTTATAAGCAAAATTACAAATTTCAAGAAATATTTATCACATTTTTCTCGAATTACTCCTCATAGAGTCGATATTTATTTTCATGAGACCAATTTATTTTATTAATTATAGGAATAATTTAATCCAAGTTTGTTAACTTCTGATATAATTATTATACTTAATTTTCTTAAATTGTGTAAGTTGTTTATTTTTCTCTTATATTTAAAAATGGAGTAGTACCAATTATCTTAATTGCTAGGTCTAATGGCTTCATATGACTAATCAACCAATCGACTATGGTGTGCAGATTTTTTCTGTGGTGCTCTATACCATTATGGTTTGTGCAATTCTTGTGATGACTATTATGGCGCCTATTTTCATTAACTTCATGTACAAACCAAGAAAGCGATTCGAGAATTTTAGGTTAAGGACTATTGAAATGTTAAGGAATCACACAGAGCTTCGCATTCTAAGCTGCGTCCATAATATTGACCAAGCTACTTGCATGGCCAACCTCTTAAAAACTTTTAATGCTACTAGAATTTCTCCTCTCCGCGTGTTTGGAGTTCACCTTGTTGAACTCACTGGACGTGCAGTTGTGGCCACTGCTCTTTTGGTTGATCATAGAGAGCAACAAACCCATTCTGAATCACCAAATTCCACAGTGTCACAACCAAAGTTAAAGAGGATTACCAATACCTTCAACACTTTACAAGAGGAAAATAACTCCATCAGAGTTGAGAACTTCCATGTTGTGTCTGCCTATGAAACCATTTATCAAGATATACACAATTTGGCAGAGCAAAATCGAACAGCCTTAATTCTTCTTCCTTTTCAGAAACAACCACATGGGGTAATAGATGGTTTGGCAGAGACACCTAATGAAGCATACAGAGACATAAACCTCAAGGTTATGCAAGAAACACCTTGTTCTATGGCACTTCTTGTTGATCGTGGTCTCGGATCGGTATCTAAGACCAACTTACACATAGTGATGGTCTTTGTTGGAGGACCTGATGACCGTGAAGCCTTGGCTATTGCTTGGAGGATGGTTGGGCTTGGGAATCCAAGGAACTCACTCTCCGTGGTGCGGATTATTCTTGTTGGTGAAGCTGTAGAAGCTAGCATATCAACTAGAAATGATGAGACTCAATGGCCTTCATCAAAAAGTGTGGATGATGACAGGCAACAAGTTTTGGATGAAGAGTATATAGATTTATTCAGATTCAAGGCAGTGTATAACAATGACTCTGTAACATACTCAGAGGAGGAAGTGCACAATGGAGAGGAGTTGATTGCATTACTAAAAGAATTGGAGAAAGTTGATTGTGATCTATTCATCGTTGGACAAGGGAATGGTAGGAACACGATTGTGTTTTCAAGTTTCATGGAATGGTGTGACAACCCAGAGCTTGGAGTTATTGGGGACATAGTGGCATCAAACTCTTCGCAATCTTCACTGCTTGTTGTGAAGCAATTTGGGTATGAAGAAATGGATTTTGGGAAGCAAAATCAACATGCCAAACAATGTTCCACCAGGACTAGTATGTCTGAGACGCATATTGTGTAACATGAATTATTTTTGTAAATGATGAGTTAAGAAATGTAAGAATTATGATGAATAAACTTGGAAAATCCAATTTCATGCCATCAAGCTAGAAGTGGTAACGGTTTTTTAATCAATTTAGTTGTAACTGAGTTACAAAATTTATCATATTCATCTTGCTTCAATATTTTTTATATGCATGTATGATGTCGGGGCTCTATTATAGATTTATTAGAATTTTATTTATAACTTCTCACCTTCGAATTTTTATTTGTCCAATGGCCGTGCTTATGGTTGATATGTCTATTGGTAAGTTATCTTTATTTTTTTAAAGAATTCAAGCTTCATGACATTCATGGAACTACCTTAGACAAACTAAAATTTTTTGTGTTATTGGTTTATAATAATGGTTTTAGGTGATGAATCTACCAATGTATTGGGACTTTTAAGTAATCATGATTACTTACCAAATACCATGTTTTGTGACTAAACGTTGTTTACACCTTGTTATTATTCTATAATTTAGCTGATATTATCTAGTGAGATAAAGCTTGTTATTGGTGTTCAGTAGTTATGAGTCATCATTGACTCATTTGAATAGTGTATAGACTTTATGCATTTGCTCATGCAGTTTATGGTAGTATTGAGTTTGGATATTTACTCTGATGCTTTACTTTGTTGTTGTTGTCGTCATTGTTGTTGTTGTTTTGAGACATTCGCTCATTTGAATAGCATGTTGATATGTATGTTCTCTTGCAATTCATTGTATCATATTTGGGCATTTACTCTGATACTTTACTTTGATTGAGGGAAAACTTGCTGTGTTTGCGTAGTCCCAAGTAAAACATTGTAAGACCATAATTTCTAAACCATTTATAAACAGCATCTACCATAGTACTAAAATCTGAAACCGTTAAAAACATTTACCATAATAAAAAAGCTTTAAACCAAATAAAATACTATGTATATATATATATATATTCCAATATAAAAAATCCTTACATGATAGAAAAAAGCCTACAATGATAATTAAAAATCAATTTTTAATCAGATATGAGTACAGTCCATTTACAAAACATCGATACCTTAAAATTTATCATGGAATCCCTCCATCTTATCAAACACCATCATCATAAATAATCCAAACACATGCACCAACCCTAAGGTCTCAAGCTTGTCTACCAAGACAATATAAATATAATTATATATAATAGTCATTTGAAATCAATTTTCAAATATGAGATGCAGAGGAAGTCCTATACCGACTCCAGTACCTAATTAAAAACAAAACAAAAAGAATTGACTTGAGATATACAATAGTTGCTTCAAATCTCTATTTTCCTCCATTTGCAGCCCTGATCCTTTGCATAAAAATGATAGAAATTAAACCATATGATGAGACCGGAGGGTCCTAGTAACCATAAAATAATTTAACATTCATGCAAGCATGTTTTAGAGACAGTTAAGTGGAAATAAATAACCAAGTAAATAGTAATAACAAATTTTTTTTGGACAAAAAATAGTAATAACAAATTAAATAGCACGTATTATGCACATGAGAGACCGCATGGGCAGGGGGGTTTGATCTTTTAACCACCTTGGGGTCAAAAGATATTCAAATCTGAAACCAGTTACCCTTCATACCTTCAAATCTGAAGCCATGCTGCCATCAAAGAAGAAAATTGAGTCGGCTAGTGCTTTTTCATAGAAGGCTGAGTTAGGTAGGATTCTTTTTGGGCAATAGGATAATTTTACAAGAACAAATTATATCAGAAATGGACCTTGGAATTTCATAATAATTACCTGAATTTGCAATGCATTTATGTCATTTGAATATTTTAGGAAGAAGTGTCATTTTCCCAATATATAATCAATTAAATTTATTTTTTATTATACTTGAAATAATTGCACCTTCAATTCATAATCAAATAAGGATCTTAATTCATGAGAGAATCACATCCAAGGATTGTAAACAAATTTATTCGTATATAATGATTAATAACAAGTCTTATTTAATAAAAAAAAGTTCATGCATGTTTCACTACTACAAAAAAGAGTATATAAAATAATTATTTTTAGTTAAATATAATGGTTTTTAACTATTGTATATTCAGGCACTGTACATTTCCCAAACAAATATATAACAATTTTTTAACTACTTTATATTTTGGCTATATAAACAGTTATTTGGAAGCAATCACTTTATATTCCTAGAACATAAAGTGGTTGCTTCCAAGTAACCATTTTATATATGAGCTTTTTTTAAAAAGAAAAAAAGATAAGGGTTAACGGTCCTTATATTCATCCATCTTTTTCCAATTAAGGATTCGAACAAAAAGAACAAGAAATTTTCATGATATTTTTAGCATTCAAAGTACATTAAATTTATAATAAACAAGCCTAACAATGAACTAATAAATAATTTTATTGCTTGGATTGTCTATGTCACCCTCAATTTTTTCCTATGTGAAGTATAATAAAAAAACCCAAAAAGCTTGGATCATTCCAATCAGCATTATCAAATAGACAAATACCAACTTCGTAGGGAAATAAATCACCTACTCAAGGTTTAAACCTATTTGAAAAGCATTACCATCACCAAACCACTCTGAAACCCATGTATTTGAAGTTAAATGCCACTTTTCAAATGTCTCTCCATTGGATGAAATAATGGGTTTAGGACAAGAATGGTGGCGTAGCTATCATCCTGAAAGTAAAATGATCTATGCTAAAAAAAAAAAAAATTGTTTTGCTTTTAGTCTTCCTAAAAAAACAAAAAAGATGCAAACAATTGAATTTGGTTCGGCAACGTTATTCCCACACAATAATAATCAAACCCATCGATTTATAACAGTCACCCTCCTTCCTCATCAATAAGCACCTATATTAGAATTCTTTTGTGTCCAAATTCTGGTGATGGCTTACTCTAACCTCCGTGGTACCTAGTTGAACAAGAGAGATAAAATCACATATATCTTGATCAATAAGCAAACATAGATTATTAAATGAGGTAAAATAACTTCAAAAAAATGGCAATGGAACAGGAATAAGGTAAAAAAAAAAAAAAAAAACTCATCTTCGGTTAAGAACATAAGCAAGTATTGTAACACTTACCCTTGAAATATATCATTATTTGGTAGTTTAAAATCATCAAGATGAAAAGTCTTAGGTAAGGTTATGGAATGGTAAGGTGCAGTGGACTCTTCTGGTGGCAAATAAATAGTAGTGGAGTAGAAAGCTTGCTTAATCTTAAGCAAACACTACTAGAAACAAAAAATTAAAACTAGTGATCTATCACTAATCAACAAAATCTATCACTAATTTTAATTTTAGTGATGGATTGTCTGTCACTAATTTTTGTCACAAATATGGTGTCATTAATTTAGTGGTAGACATGAATCTATCACTAATTTAGTGATAGAAAATGTCTATCACTAATTTAAATGTCTGTCACCAATTTATTTTACAATTAAAAAATTTTTGTGGGTCCAAACACTATTATGTTACCTCCCCATGCTATGTCATATAATCACACTTAAACTTCCATACCACATTATCACTATGTCAATAATTTATTTTAATTTTCTTTGCTTGTGACATTAGCTTGCCTTGAACTTAAGACTCCATCTTTTCATCGGACATATTGCAAGTTGAACCGCAATGACTTTGTATTCTTAATAAACACAATTTAAAATATATTACTTAATTAAACATATATATTTAAGGGGCTTTTGTAATTATGATCCATATTATAGGATCAAATCAAGCAAATAGCTCAACATTTGTTATATTTTGCATTATAATAGTTTATTATATTTGTTAATGATATATCATTATATATCAATGATAAACCCTTTATATATTAATAATAAACTTCTTATATATCAATGTAAATTAGCCATATACACTTTCAAATTTTCAAACATTTGGTCCATATTTTCTATGCACAAGATTTTTTTTCTTTTCTTTTTTTAGCTAATGAGCAAATTTATCCTATTATTTAACATAATGTATTTTTAATATATTATCATTTAAATATGTTAATAATATATATTAATTTTTATATATATACATTAACACATATAAATATATAAATTAGTATATATTATTAGTTAAAATATATATTATTTAATATCAATAAATATATTTATTGAAAATAAATATTTTTTTATATCATTTTATATTATCTACTATGTTATAATTAAAATATCTTCACATGATAAAAAATTTAATTTTATATTTAAATTTCCATAATAAAATAAAAAGTATTTTTTATTTTTTATGTAATTTTATATTATATATTTTACTTATAATAATAGGAAAAAATTATTTGTGTAATTATTTAATTTGGAAATTATTAAGATTTTATTCATGTAATTCTCTCCATGTATATAGTAAATTTTTTATTTTTATATAATATTTAAGAACATTTTTCTGATTTTTTAATTAAAAATATGTGTCACTATTTTATCATTTATATAAAGATTTAGTGAGAGTAATTAGTGTCAAATTTAAATCGGTCAATAAATTTATAAAATTTAATCAAAATGTAATGATATCCTATATTTATTATTAATCCATCACTAATTTATGTAATTAATAATAGATTTCAGTTCGTTACAAAAATTTTATCACCAGTACTTATAATTAGTGATAGATTGGAAATCCGTCACTAAATGTTTGTCATTAATTTTAATGATAAAAAAAGTAATTTACTTTCATAGAATATATCCTCACTACACTAAGCAGAAGATGATTCGACAAGTGAAGTTCGATTGGCTCTTCAAGAAAAAGAATTGAATCTGTCCGCAATAGTGAATGTGTAAATATCATGGGAGAAATGATATCAAAACTAGAGAATAACACATGCTATACAGACGGTGTCATCATATTTGAGCTCGATGCTGCAGCCCAAAGAAGGTTCCACTTTCTGCAATGCTTCTTGGAGGGCACAGAGTGGGTCAACTTAATGAAAGGTTTGCTTCATAATGAAAAGGAACAACAATCTGCTTAGGGAACAACAA